TCTGTTTCCACAATGTGAGCATTTCTGTCCATCGATGGGGTTCGAGTCTTTGAAGATTTTTTGTTGCTTCCGCTTGTTGTAGATTGAGCAGATGGGACAAGTTTAATATTCCTGCATGCCTAAACTGCTCTAAGAGTTTCATCAGCATCATCGCTATTCATCACAGCCTGGCAGATTGTCTCAAGGCGAACCAGTGCAAAAGCTTGCTCCACGGTTGGGAAAGGTTGTAGCTGAATCACATCTCTATTTATCTGATCTTGTTTGTCATTGAGTCCATCTAAAAAGGTGTACACCATTTCTTTCTGGAGCAATGTACTATATTTCTTAAAAACATCTGGGCATTTCATGGTATAGGGGCGACAAAAAATCGATTTCACGCCACAATCCTTGAAGGTCTAGATAGTATTTTTCAAGAGGGCCTCTGGCTTGGTGTGGTCGACTTACACGTCATCGAAGGTCATAAACTTGGGAGGTGTCACTCCTATCAAAGTAGGTAGAAGCAATGGAGTCCCAAACCATTTTTGCAGTTAGAAATATAATAAAATTCCCCATTAGTGATGGGTCGATGGAGTTGATGAGTCATCCTTTGACTATGGCGTTGTCAGTGCGCCATTTGCAAAACGACAGATCGTTCAAGGTCGGTTGGGGAATATCACAATTGATATATCCCAACTTGTCTTTTGCCGGAGATATACATCTCGACAACTTGGGACCAAAGCGCATAGTTGGAACCATCTAACTTTATGCCGATCCAACAGTCAGGATACTCGTGAAGTTTAAAGTAGTTGTCACGGTTATGATTTCTGTTTCCACAATGTGAGCATTTCTGTCCATCAGAGGGGTTCGAATCTTTGAAGATTTTTTGTTCCTTCCGCTTGTTGTAGATTGAGCAGATGGGACAAGTTTAATACTCCTGCATGCCTAAACTGCTCTAAGAGTTTCATCAGCATCATCACTATTCATCACAGCCTGGCAGATTGTCTCAAGGCGAACCAGTGCAAAAGCTTGCTCCACGGTTGGGAAAGGTTGTAGCTGAATCACATCTCTATTTATATGATCTTGTTTGTCATCGAGTCCATCCAAAAAGGTGTACATCATTTCTTTCTGGAGCAATGTACTATATTTCTTAAAAACATCTGGGCATTTCATGGTATTGGGGCGACAAAAATCGATTTCACACAACAATCCTTGAAGGTCTAGATAGTATTTTTCAAGGGGGCCTCTGGCTTGGCGTGGTCGACTTACACGTCATCGAAGGTCATAAACTTGGGAGGTGTCACTCCCATTAAAGTAGGTAGAAGCAATGGAGTCCCAAACCATTTTTGCAGTTAGAAATATGATAAAATTCCCCATTAGTGATGGGTCCATGGAGTTGATGAGTCATCCTTTGACTATGGCGTTGTCAGTGCGCCATTTGCAAAACGACAGATCATTCAAGGTTGGTTGGGGAATATCACAATCGATATATCCCAACTTGTCTTTTGCCGGAGATATACATCTCGACAACTTGGGACCAAAGCGCATAGTTGGAACCATCTAACTTTATGCCGACCTGAGTAGTAGAAGTTTCCGTTGTAGTCAGGTTTTGAGCTTTGTTCAAGTTTTAGTCAGTTTGGAGGTAAATTCGATTAAAGAGATGTCGGTATTTGGTGGTTGGTCGCCAGAGGGGTTCATGTCTCCGGTGGCTGCCATAAGAATAAAGAGAAAACTGGGCTAAACAGAGAGAAAGGAAGGTATCTCAAGATCATATGGCTCTGATACCATGTTAGTCCATGCAAGCAGAGATGAACAGAAGCAATTTCTGTATTTTTCTGGTATGTTATTCTAATGTACAGCTTACAAATAAAAAGGGAGAGCTCGTACATATACGTAATGGGGGATTTATGGGAGAATATGAAAGGCTGAATAAAATTTTACTATGTACGGGAGATTTCCTAATTAAAGATTCCTACAGTTACTCCACTCACGCCAATAATTAATCCGTGAAGCTCTAAGCTGAGTCGACTATAAATGTCAGGATGTCTACGGCAATGCCATGATTTTCCTTCCCCTTCAAGGTTTTTTTTCCAACTTTGGTGGTTGGTCGCCAGAGGGGTTCATGTCTCCGGTGGCTGCCATAAGAATAAAGAGAAAACTGGGCTAAACAGAGAGAAAGGCAGGTATCTCAAGATCATATGGCTCTGATACCATGTTAGTCCATGCAAGCAGAGATAAACAGAAGCAATTTCTGTATTTTTCTGGTATGTTATTCTAATGTACAGCTTACAAATAAAAAGGGAGAGCTCGTCCATATACGTAATGGGGGATTTATGGGAGAATATGAAAGGCTGAATAAAATTTTACTATACACGGGAGATTTCCTAATTAAAGATTCCTACAATTACTCCACTCACGCCAATAATTAATCCGTGAAGCTCTAAGCTGAGTCGACTATAAATGTCAGGATGTCTACGGCAATGCCATGATTTTTCCTTCCCCTTCGAGGTTTTTTTTCCAACATCTATCTCAATTAGATGGATAATATTTCCAATAACAGCAAAAGTATAGAGAGAAGAGATTCCCTGCCGCTGCACACCTCCATGTATGTTGAGATGTGAGATGATTCGAGGTTTTGATCTTAATGTCTCCATCTCCATCTTCATCATTGAACATGTTTAGTGAAAAAAAAATAGAATCGCCCTTTACACGTGCCATGTGAACATATATAGTGATACGTGTAACTTTTAGAAAGAAATAACATGTAAGCGAAATGTCACTTGTGAATTGTTGCGAAGTATGGTCAAGCATCAATGTGGAGGAAAAAATTTAAAAATGATTGGTTAACTCTTTCGACACTATGGTCTCCATTATATGAATTGAGAATCAAAGATGGTTTGAGATTTAGGTGGTGGTACTCATAAGAGTCATAACTTAGTCTATATGGCTGACTGACATACATTGTGAAGACAATACATCTCAACTTCATTCGAATTTGATTAGTTAATAGTTGCTGATTCTGTCCAAACACAAAAGTTTAGAATAGAATAAAGTAACTTCACAAGCTCCAACTCCTTAACCACTAAATCTAGATACTTTAGTTCAATTCGAACTACATGTTCAATTTAGACATTGGCCTCTCATTAATCCATCACGTTTCGATTAACACAGTTGTATTTTCATTATCTCTTTCGAACTTGAAGAATGGATCCTATAAAATCTTTGTTGCCAGGTTCAGATTTAGTGAAGGTTTTAAAAAAGAAAGATTACAGTTGAAATCACTGATGCCAGGGATTTTTTTGAGTTCTTTGGTGTTCTGATAAGTTGCAAATAGCCAAATCTGAAATCCTTTTTAGATTGGTCCATAAAGGAAAGGGGAAAGGAAAATAAAATAAAGATTAGCATTTTATATGAATTGGCAGTTGATCACTTAATTTTGTGCTTACTGCCAAGGTGTGGCTTTTCGCCCGCATCTAGGCGCACTTTTTAGAACACTAGTTGTAGGGACTCTGAGACAGATGCTGCTATCTCGTGCTTGGGAAACAAACCAAGCAATACAGAAATAGAGAAAATGATGAGAGATTTGGCCATAGCTAGACATGCTTCTTTAGTCAACTTTCTTGAGTGGAAGCTAATCCTTGTAAGTTGGGATATATAAGCATTTCTTTTAAGGAACTGATTTAGAACTTAAAAGTTTACCACTATCTACTGTATTGAGCTTCTAGGCAAGAGGGAAGATAGAATGGCTGGGAAGGCTTGACTGAAACTACATGGAAATCTGGAACCTGTGGAACTACAAACCTTCAGTGAGGAGAGGTTTTTGCTCCGTTTGATTCGTCTGGGCATGAAACCTTATTTGCTTCTAGGTAACGATTTCATCACGTAATATATTATTGGGTTACAGAACAGGGCTCATTGTTCTTTTTGAACATTTTCAGAAACTGAAGCACCATATATCAGACCAGCTGAAGAAAATGGAGAAGCTGAAGCATAAGCCAATATGATTGCTCTTTCATGAATATTTTATCGCAATAAGCTCAATCTTAGCCCCAAACATCTAATGATTAATCTTAATTACTGGTCATGTAATATACAGGAAAATATGGAGACCATAAGTGAAATTGATGAAGAGACTGAAAGAATTTATATACCAAGAACTTTGAATCGTGCAATTCCGGGCTCAGTTTCACAATAAACCGAATCAAACACAATGCAATCGAACTGCTCAAACCCACAACTATTTATATCATTTCGGCTGCCCTCTTTTGCTACCACAAAGGACACGGTTATAGTGGCTGTAATTAACCACAAAGGAAGAGAGAAGGAAAGAAATGGCTCAACACTCACCTAGAACGGCTTCCCTCTTTTCTCACAATTCAATTGCACACACTTTGTCTCCATCAAATATAGATTAGGGATAAGTATATAGTTGGACCACAAATGGGTAAATGGGCCAACAAATATATGGACCATCCGTTAAGGGAAACGGGCCGTGAGAATGAATCAAGCCAATGCATTGCCGTATTGATATGATTAATCCAACCCATTTTAACATCATCACTCACGATTTATTGTGTCAAAACCTCACAGAAACCTTGTACTTGAGCATAAATAATGCATCTGATGAGGATGATGATAAAGATATGGATGAGGTGCGATGAGATGAGATGAAATTCGGGCTTCTGTATCACTTTAATGCAATCCCTTTTGTAAAACACGTCTGACCATCTTTTAGCTTCTGCAGTTTTCGAGTGTCATTTTATTTCCCTATAGGAACCTTAATTAATTTTGTTCAAAAATTGATTCACACGCGCTTCACTTAAAGAAGAAAGGAATTTAACCCCCCAAAATAAAAAACTTAATAATAATAATACAAACCGTAGTTGAAAAACATAAATGTGCAGATCACATAGTAAATCAAATAACATCGAAGTCCCATTTTCTGTCACTTCATTCAATTTATTGCTTTGTCTAAGGGAAGATCCAAAGAAAATATATCATTAACTTTCACAACACACAACACATAAAAATAAAATTCAAATGCATAGTTTAGAGACCGCTACATAAAAATAAAATTCAAATGCACAGTTTAGAGACCACTAAGCTATTCGGAGGCCTTTTTTCCCTGCTGCAGACACTGTTCCTTTATGAAAGGTAAAACAACTGAAACTAGTTCGGCTTGATGGGACGTGTATCCATGATCAGCTCCTTCTATGATTTGCAATCGATTGTTCGGTATGATCTTGGCAAACTCCGACGCATCTTCGACTGGAATGACTTCATCAACTGATCCATGAACTATCAACACCCTGCATATAAATTCCAACAACTCAACTTTCCATATTTATATTGGATTACTTCAAATCTCATGCGAGGAAGTGAACGCAGATATAATGCATGAGGCGTCATACTGGGCCAGACGTGCGCCCACTACTGTCTACTTCGGTTTCTAAATGCACCGAGTTTAATGAGCTCAAAGGAAGTCATAAGCACTTGAAACAAGGTGAAAGAAGATAGTAGGATGAGATCATATTGGTCGAAGTGAAAGCGAAGAGAACATGGCCAGTTCAGATGAAGAACCGATGAAAAATAATCAGGGAAAATACGAACGCCCATTTGAACAAGTATGAAGCACAAAATCTATAACATGACCGTTCTCAAATATTCAAAGCTTGATAGTGAAGACTTGAAACAAAAATATTTAAAATTCAACAACTCAACATCGGTATTACCAGTCAGTGAAGCTGAACTTTATGAACTTCAAGTTAACTTTGAAACAAGTCTAGAACAATATCTCACTTATGTGAAGAATATTATTAGCAGCTGCTAAATTGAATCTCAATTATGACCAAGATATCATTTGTGCCTTATTTTGTGTGTTATTCGTCCCTCAATTTATTTATCTAAAACCCTAATGAAACATAGTAGTTTCACATCTCAGTTTTTACCCTCTAAATTAGTTTTAAGGGCTGGGCTCATAGCAATGCCTACAGCAGATAGGAAGCTACATTTTTGTACAGTTGACTCAACTGTTCATAGGAAATGACATGCTTATTAACAACCTTGCTTCATAAAAAGGCTACAACAAAGCAATTTCCCTTTTCGTTCTGGCACTTGATTCATAACAAGGCTACAAGAAAGCAATTTCCCTTTTCTTTCTGGCACTTGATACACCGGTTGTATTATTGGTAAATTGAGAGAAACTGACTAAATCACAAGAACAAGGTAAACGAAAAGGATCCGCAGTTTAACTTTGCAGGTGGCTTTGATAAGAAGAATAGACTTAGGATCCACTCAATCAGAAGCAGCTTCACTGCTCTGAGAAAACAATAAAACCCAGACCTTTAACGAATAGTGAATATCCCATTATATAGAGATACAGCTCAACTAGGAATTAGATTCGTAACACAGAAATATGGGACCAATCCTACCAAACACAACGTCTTATTCCAAAGATAACCAAAAACATAAAAGGTCACAAAGTAAGAACTCCTAGCTTGAATAGGCGAAATAAAGAAATAATCATGAAATGAGCTTCTTAAATTTGTGTAGCTGTATTCACACATTGATATAACAAAAATCATAAAAGTTTATTATAAAATGAAATTACCATGAAATGAGTTTATATAATTCTGTTTAGCTGTATTCACACGTCAGATATAACAAAAACATTTATCACAAAAATCAATGTCGTCACAGTAAAGCAAACCAAAAAAGTATCTTTTGATTTATGAAACTAAAATCAAGGTAACCTGCATCTCTTGTCAATTGAAAGACATGCTTCATGCATGTTTGTATTAAGTCGCTCCATCAAACTCTCCTTGGTGACTTTGAAATCGAATTCTCCTATAGAAAACAAGATTCGGTCAAAACTTGCCCGCAAGGAGCAGTTACCAGTCATGTGTTATAAAAAATAAAAGACAGACAAACCATGATCCAGTTTGTGCAACAAAAAGTAATGAGGAATTCATTCAACTTGCTCTTGAGAGGATCCCATGAATAAGTTAAAAACTAATAAAAAGGTTGAATTTGAGCAAACCATAAAACATGTTTTGCATTTGACGCTTGGTGCCATTCTCATTTAAAATTTCATGAACTATATACAACAATAACAAACTAATTGCAAAGTATCCCAATTGAGACATTATTGAATAGGCTAAACCTTTTTGACGTCTTTTCCAGCAGAGCTAAAGTAGCTCCTAATAATACGGAAGGAATATATGATGGCGCCTCATCATCCATAAATTGATGTGTCTATTCTCCATTTCGTTAATAATACTTTATAACCTAAAAAGAATTAGAAGATATCTACATCTCTATCTATTCGAGTTAACTACTAGTAGGGAACCCTTAGTCAAAACCTGGTATGGACCTAGATACTTCAACATGGTCCTCCTAAATGACCAACTCATAATTCATTAATCATAATTCCATACTCCAAGGGATTTCCAAGCAACAGAGAAAAAAGGAAAAAAAGTATATAAAAAAAATAATTCTTCGGATCCTATCCCTAAATAACGCCTGTTCTTGAAAGATTATACCCTCTCTCAGATTGAAATATTTGGTTTGACTTGGATCAGATATGGGAAGACTCACTTATACTTTTTACTCTTGAAAATGTCACCTTGGTCCCAGTTCCTCTGTTAATGAAAATAACTTCAAAGAGAGGTTGTAAAAAAAGACTATTAATTTTGTGTAACTAATTACTTTTCAGGTAAGAGCTTTTTGTCATTTATGACAGACAATAAACTTTTCCAGAGCCCCATTTTTTCCTTATGGGAGATATTTCAAAGTTATAATTGTAAACAGCACACTCAGGTATTGCTTCAAAAAGAGAGAGAAGGTTAAGCAGAATAAGAGCTTGGTGAATTCAAGATTGCAAGCAAAATAATAATTCTTTAAAGTCGCTATCTCTAATTTGAAATTAGAAACTCAAGAAATTTCAACAGGAGATGCTACACAGCATATAACTCATGATCACCTTTTATATTTTTGATATTGAGGTATCCATCCTTTTCTATTCTTTCTAAGAACTCTTTACCCAGGCGCTCTTCAATGCCTCTCTTGAGATCACAGCGGCCAGAAACATTGACCACAGCAGGTATGTCATGATATTTTGATGCATATAGGAGGACAACATTGCCACCTGCATTTCTCCCAGTAATAGTCAGAGAATCAACTGGTCAACACAATGCACCCAAGCAAAATTAAAAATTCAGGTCTAGCATGTAAATTTCCAGATATCACATCATGTTCTGATATGGCAGCACAAATTTTAAGAAAGATAAATTAAAACTTTATTACAGAAAAAGGAAAACAAATCACTAACCTCAATATGAAAACGTTTCTAAGCTAACTGTTTGGGCCAGAATGCATGTTCCCATGTTAAGTTGCTTGTCATTACTAGCCATGAATTTCTTCAGTACACATAATTAAGACATCTTTCTTATATAGAAAATGCATACATATAAAAGTTGGAAAGTTGTGGAAAAGTTAAAATAAGTTGAAAGGAAACATAAGTTACACTGATATTAAAAGGTCAACAATTAGCTGAAATTGGTCATCTAGGTTACAGATCATTGCAATCTGGTCGGAGTGAACCAGACCAGAAACTGGGGATGGGATGTGTGGGCTTATTTTGGCAATTCTTGACGTACTAAATGTGTAAGGAACTCTCATTAGTTATTTTGATGGCTAATGGAACACAATAAAATATTTAGTTGTGAGTATAAGTTGGTGCACCTTTACTGTGCCCAAGAATTGCAACTACTGTACGGTTTGCTCCAGTAAAATATTCTATCACAGCTCGTAAATCTTCTGCTTCTCTAAAGTAGTTACCGAACTGAAACGAACCTTCACTTTCCCTGGAGATGAACTATAAACATGAAACCAAAAATTGTAGAAGAAAATTACCCAAGTACGTCGACAGACTGCATATTTGACAAATTCAACAGGAAGAGAAAAAATTTATAATAAGATAAGGGTAAAATAGAACAAAAAATGGTCAAATTCAGCTGGGAACTGCAACGACAAATAAGGGGGTGTTCTCTTTGTATTTCAGTTTTGTGTTTTGAGTTTTAAATTCATTTTGAGTTTTGTGTTTTGAGTGTTTGTTTTGAAATTGTTGAAAATGTGTTCTTTTTGTTTGTTTCTCAAAACAAAAAAAATGTTTTTTTTTTTTTTTGAAATTTTGAGAATCCCCATACCCCCCCCGAAAAAAAAAAAAAAAAAGGTGTTTCCCGTGTTTTCAGTTTTTTCAAGTTTTACACTGAAAACGCCCAAAACGACAAAAAGTCGTTTTGTGTTTTCTTCACAAATTTTTTTTTCGTTTTCGAAAATTCGTTTTCGAAAACGGGAAAGAGAACACGTTTTCACCGTTTTAAAAAATCGAAAACAGAAAACGGCCCGAAAACGGTAAAGAGAACATGGCCTAAATAACTTGTCCATTCTCAAATTTCTTATCCTAACTGTCATATGGATTCACTTTACCATAAGAATAATAAGCTATAAAAAGCTACATTTTGCTTAAACCAATCCAAAAAGTTTTAGCACCAATCTAGGTTTTGATATGATAGCAATTATTTGTCATCCAACAAATTTCTAGTAGAAGTTTCAAACAATATCTAATTTCATCTGGTTTTAGTCTTTTTCTGGCCTAAATAACTTGTCCATTCTCAAATTTCTTATCCTAACTGTCATATGGATTCACTTTACCATAAGAATAATAAGCTATAAAAAGCTACATTTTGCTTAAACCAATCCAAAAAGTTTTAGCACCAATCTAGGTTTTGATATGATAGCAATTATTTGTCATCCAACAAATTTCTAGTAGAAGTTTCAAACAATATCTAATTTCATCTGGTTTTAGTCTTTTTCTATAATGTATACATATAAAGCAGTCTTTCCTAAATAGGTTTCTAAGTAAGCCCACATTTCTTGTACAATCATTTGTGTAAGTACTTATTATATGCTCTAATTACAGAATTTTCCCATTCAGTTATAGACTAGGTCTGTCTTGTGGTTTACAATTATTTAACTTTAAGATTAATCCTCTATCGCTTGCCAATAGTAAACTACATCCTTCTTCCGTTTATCTTTTTCCTAAGCTTCTATATTTTTTATCAGTCCATTCAAAGTCTCTTACAGGGAGAAAAGAATATTTACCTCCTATATCTTATTCTGTATTCATGGGTTCTTTTCTTTTTCCAAATTCTTGATCTGATTCTATTTTAACTCTCTTGCTAGTTTCTTCCATCTTGGTTTCTATTTTTCTATTAACATTCTAGTTTCTATTTCTCTAGCTTTTCTAAGATTTCTATAATATTCCATATTTATATAGCCAAATTCTTTTTCATCGTTATCGCTTTCATCTTCTTCACTATCTTCAACTAAAGCATTAATTTCATCACTTTCCTACTGTCTATTTCAAAATATCCACATTCTCCTTCATTTTCTTCCTCATTATGTTGTGTCTGTTCTATTTGATAATTATAATTTCCAAATCTAATGCTCAAAGCTCCATTACTATTTTTATTCATAATATTATTTTCTAGTACTAATATTGGTTTTTGTAGAAATTTCCTAAGTTTCAATCTAATCATGCATATGTTTCTGAAGAAAATTTCTTTGCTAGGATAGCCTTTATACCTTTTTGTCCTAATAATATAATTATTTGATTATTTTCTAATTTATAATTAGTAGTACTATTTTCACTAAGCCTTCCTATGAATCCTGTACAAATTAATAAATTATCCTCATCTCTTTTCATTTGATATCCTTTGCTTTTTATTCCTATTTTAATATCTTTATAGAAATTTTTTGTTCTAACTAGATAGTCTGGTGTAAAATATACTATTCCGCCTTTATCACTCATTCAAAAAAAATAGGGACAGAATTCAATAGTAGATTATTATCAGCCTCCGTAAATTGTTGCTTAGCTTCCTCGCATTGACAGTCCCAAGAAGCTACTATTTAGTATTTTAAGTTTCCCTAAAAAAGAAATTTGCAATTATATATGAAAAAGGTATATTGCAAAAATTGGGTTTGATGAACATTTAATGCAAAGGATTCAAGAAACTAGATCATCTAGGTCAAATGTGATTCTCATTAGAATAAACAATAGCAAGGTAGAGATCACAAATTTGGCCCGAAAATTTGCAACTTTCACAAATTTAATTGGCTGCACTTTTATTATTGAACTCAACTCATTGGAACGGTCATTAGTGCCAATTTTGCATAATGAATCTTTGGTATGCACTGCCTTACATTTAGGTATTACAAACTATACATGGAAAGTAATTAATCCCAAATTCTTTACTATTTAATTATGCTATACAAGGAAACCCAATAAATAAATTGCTAAAGATACGTGTGCTACAAATTAAGTCTCTAATAGCCCTCCCAATATTGATGGTGGTGAGTCCATAAGCATCAATTCGCTGATAAAAAAATTATATTAAGGCAAGTCAAAGATTTGATGAAGATATTTGCTAGCTGGTGAGTAGTGAAAACATGAGAAAAAGTAATGATCTTGGAATCATAGGCTTCCGTATGTAATGACAGTTCACTTCGATATGTTTGGTGTGTTCATGATATACAGAGTTAGCTATAATTTAAATAGCACTAGTGCTGTCAGCATGGAGTGGCGTAGGCTGTAATTGGGGAATACCAAGTTATATTAGAAGTCCTTTCAAACAATCTCAGACCAGGTAGTTGACATAGCACAATATTTAGCCTCAGTGAAGAATTTAGAAACACAATCTCGTTTCTTACATTTCCAAAAAATAAGAGCAACTTCTAGAAAAATACATCATCCCGTAGTAGAATGATGAGAATTTAGTCAACCAGCCCAGTCAGCATCACTGTAAGTAGTGAGCTCAAGAGATGTACCCTAGAGAAGAACAGACAATGATAAGTTCCCATAAGACATCGAATAATGCGGCGTACAGCTACCAAATGAAGATGATAAGGTGCGTCCATAAATTTGGTGACGGTATGATCGGCGATAGAAATATCTGGACGTGTAATTATGAGATAAATGAGGCTCCCCACCAACTTCCGATACAGAGGATGGTCTGGAAGAATATCACATTCGTCTTTTCTATATGTAAAATTAAGCTCCAACGGAGTATCAAATAAAGAGGTTTCAGACAAATTTCCCAACTTAATTAAATCTTCAGTATATTTATGTTGCTATAAGAAGATACCATGTAGAGCCACATGAACCTGTAAACCAAGGAAATAAGTGAGATGACCAAGATCTTTCATATGAAAAATCGAGTAAAGATGCTCCTGAAACTTCTGAATATGAATGTGATTAGATCGAGAGAGAATAATGTAATCCACATATACCAACAAACAAATGATGCCAGCAATCATACTGACTCTAGGTAAAGGCAAAAACCAAAAGAGTGGGACAAAACTTGTCAAACCATGCTCAAGGGGCATGCTTAAGAATAGACGAAGAGCATTTGAATTGACAAATAGAGGTAACTGAGGGAAGAGGCATACCAGACCAATGTTTGATATAAATGTCTTCCCTAAGGTCTCCAAGTAAGAACGCGTTCTTCACATTCATTTGATGTAAAGACCAGGACTGTAAAGCGGCAAGTAATAAAAAGAGGTGAACAATGTCATTTTTTTCACAGAAGCAAATGTCTCATCATAATCGATTCCATCTTCTTAACGACTACCTAAAGTAACTAACCGAGCTTTATAAAGCTCAAGAAAACCATTAGAATAAAGTTCAACCAAATATACCCATTTACCATCAATAGGTTTCACATTCTGTGGACATGGTACAACATCACAGGTTTGGTTAGCCTTAAGAGCTTCAAGTTCTACTTGCATCACCTATTGCCAACACTTTTATTCCATAACCTGTTTATATGAGGACGAAATGGAAATTAAATTAAGAGGAGCAAACAGAGAGCTGTGGGAGGAGAAACCATAGCTGTTTGGTGATCAAGAAACACGAGAGGTGTGACGAAGAGGGACAAGAGATGCAAATCATCTAGTGTAGGATCTGATGTCGTAGGTGAAGGATCAAAGAGGCTTGGGAGGACAGTCGTCTGATAAGGAAGTTCCAGACTACTGACAGGTGAAGCATGCCAGCCAGTGTAAACAAGACTCAGCTTATATCGAGAGGATTCTATAGGAAAATCAGGCAAGGAGGAGAACGAAGGAGGGGAAACAACTCTTGGGAGTGGAGAAGGATTGTTTTTCAAAGAAAACATTACGAGAAATTTGAATACGATGTGTTTTAGGATCATAATATATGTACCCTTTTTGAGTCCTATCATATCCTAGAAAGGCACACTTAACTAACTAAAGGGTAAGTTTTGCCTTTTCATATGATTGTAAATGAACGAAACACACACTAAAAGGAACAGAGATGAAAATACGTGGGATAATGACCAAAAAGCTTATTAAATGGAGAAGCATTATGGAGAGTGGAGAGGAAGTCGATTTATGAAATGCACAACGGTAGATAAAGCTTCACACTAAAAACGAAAAGGAACGAAAGCCTCAATCAAAAGAGATCGAACTATATCAAGAAATCATGATTTTTACGTACTGCCACCCTGTTTTGTTGAGGGTAGAAGGACAAGATCGTTGAGTAATAATACCCTTAGTCTGTGAGAAATATTGAAAAACACTAGACATATATTCACCTCCTGAATCAGATCTCAAAGATTTTGATCGAGGAAAATTAATTTTCAATGAGAGCAAGGAAACCTTGAAATGCATAGAAGGCCTCACTCTTTGCACGAAGATAATAAACCCATGTGAATTGACTATAATTATCAATAAAAGTAACAATATATTTATAATGAGCATGAGATACCAAAGGTGCAAGACCCCA